TAGAAATCCCACACCAAAGCACACACACTCTCACCTACACACACACTCTCACCTACACACACACTCTCACCTACACACACTCTCACCTACACACACACACTCGGTACGGATACAATTAGATTAAAATACAGGGGGATGGAGAGAGCATGACTCCATTTTGCTGCGGGGCAGATCATGCTCTTCCTGACAGAGACACACACACACACATTTCGAGCAAGGTTACTGAAATCAGCCAAACACTTGGAACACCTTCCACTACACACACACACACACACACACACACACACACACACACACACACACACACACACACACACACACACACACACACACACACACACACACACACACACACAGCGATGACAAAGGGCAGCTATTTGAAACCCAATCAGTTCCCTTTGTGACTGACGAGCTCACCTTTCATTATTAAGAAAATCTGATAACTAAATATAGCAAGAAGGAGGGAAAACCATCAATCAATCAATGTTTCATTGTGGGTCTGAATAGGCTCAAGGAAAGGCAGGTTTTCCAGCACATAAGAAGAAGCAGTGTGAGAATGAAGGGGGGTGCACACACGATCATATTTGAGGCTTTAAGAATCCAAAAGAGATTTGAGGAAAGTCTCTTTTGAGAGAAAACACACTTGTTTGTTTGACAGACAAAACACGGACGGCGAGGAAAAACTAAAGGTCAGCCAGGAAGGGAGTTAAAAGCGAGGGTTAGAGACACACCGGCTGCTAATGGAGACTTACTGACGCTGCTGCACACAGACAGGCAGTACTCCTCTGAGTCAAAGTTATTCCTGTTGCCTCCGCAGCCGCCGTAGATAAACTGAGCACAGCGGCCCTCCTGGGGGTCAAAGAACCAGCGGGGCAGCATGGCCCGGCACGGACCGGTCTCTGCATTGGACCAGCACACATCTTGGGAGGACACACACACTTGTCATGATTCACACACACACACCTCCACAGAGAAGTCTCTTTAGCTCAACAGGTATGCCCTTTACACTTTTGCTGATTGAAGCTGTGATTTCACCAGCTCTTATATAACATGGTTTTCATTTGTGTTTTATAATTCATGTGCAATGTGTTTTTACATGCCGCTGTAACAAGTCCAATCTGATCTAATCTAGCATGAAGAGAGTCAGCTATTTATGCATCTTGGAATTTAATTCCAGACCAATTTAACCGTAAATGAAGAAACAAAGCTTTTGTGATAGTAATGGGACGTAGCTAATGAAAGCTCTGAAAAAATAAATGAGCACAATAAGAAAAATGACAGAAGGGAATTAATTTGTGTTTAGCAAAGCATAAAAAAAACACGTGTTGTGTGCTTGTGTCACATTAATTTAAAGTGTGGGAACTGTTTGTATAACACACGACAGGAAAGGGAAAACCCACAAAATGCATAAGAGAAATGTGGATGTACAAAACGCAGTTCATTTAGAGCAGGCCTCCTCACACCCTGATAATGAAAAAGAAAAACTATTTATAGCTAGTCACAAAAAAAAAAAGAAATTCTTACCTTTGACAACCTCCTCCACAGACTCGGTGGTGGTGGTAGTGGTGGTGGTCGTCATGGCAACGTTGGTGGTGGGCTCGTCGGCGTCATCTTCAAATGTGTCGAGCACGACGTCATCTCCCTCCTCCTCGTCCTCGTCTTCCTCCTCCTCCTCCTCCACTGCCTCTTCGTCCTCCTCTCCGTCTCCATCCTGGTCGTTATCCAGCACGTCCTCTTCCTCATCTTCCTCGTCCTCATCCTCTGCTGCTGCTTCCTCGTTCTTTTCCGGGGCTACCTCCTCCTCCTCCTCCTCTTCCTCGTCCTCGTCCTCCTGCACCACAGATGGCCTCGCTTCCTCTTGCTGCTCCACTGGCTCCGGCTCCCGCACCATACTGGGAGGAAAAGGGGGGGAGGGGGGAAGATGGAAAAATAAAGGTGCGGGAGGAAGGAGACATACGGAGAGGAAATTGGGAGGAAGGGGAGGTGACAGGGAAAGAGGGGTGAGGAGGAAATGAGGAAGGATGGGTGTGAGGGAGGAAGGACAAAGACTTTAAATTACCTGCGGTTTGCTTCCAATTTATCCTCATGCTGGAAATGAGAGTGGCGGCCACTCTGATCAACTGATGTGCTGCTGCCTTGCCCTCATTCGTCTGTGTGAGTGTGTGTGTGTGAGTGTGTGTGTGTACCTGTTGTCAGAGTAATCAGTCTCCGCTCCACCCCACCAGACATCGGAATCATCAGCGTCCTTCTCGGCGCTGTCGGCGTCTCGCTCCGCCTCTGCCGGACAGCACACAAACTCGACTCCTCGGAAACGGTCGATACCGCACGGCAACAGCATCCCGTAGTCGTGGAGATTCATGGTGCGGTCTCCACAGGACTGCACACACACAGGATGAGAAAGATGGATCAGTATCTGTTCCTGCTTGTTCGATGTCTGTCTGTCTGTCTGTCTGTCTGTCTGTCTGTCTGTCTGTCTGTCTGTCTGTCTGTCTGTCTGTCTGTGTGTGTTCACCTCCTTGGCGACGGTGTGCCAGTGCAGGTGGCTCTCACACTGGTCCATGCGCTCCTGGTGCAGGAACTTGCACTTGTCAGGCACGAGCAGGGCGTCACTCACAAACTCTCCCACTGCAGGAAACACAGGATCCATATTTATCATTCGTTCAAAGCCACATTTTAAACCAAATGGTCCAATAATCTGTTGATACTAGTATTTTAAGATTGTGATTAATGGTGTTTTTGTTCCCAGATTATTATCGATGACAGGACTCACCCAGGCAGCGGTAGGGCACCACGATGTGCATGTGACTGCGACACTGCTTGTGGCCCTTCTTGCACCAGTTCTGGATGCTGATTGGCTGGTTGGCCTCCACTACGTTGGTGATCTGCAGCTCTGGGTACACCTACACACACAGGGTATTATAATACATTATAGTGACATGATAAAGCCTAAAAGAGGAGACTATGTGCCCACATGCCCCCTGTCGCCCTGTATTTTGCACAATAGTTAGTTTACCCTGTCCAAATCCACCACCCCTCATTTTGTATCAAGACACCTCCTCTCCTGCTTCCTCTCCGAATGTGTCTCTCCGAATGCACAGGAAAACAAGATGCTACAATAACCTTGTCAATCTCTCAGTCTAAATCCAATCTTACATTCAGTTTTGGGATGGAAAAGATAACTCATATCTTTATTTATATGTTTGATATTCAAGTTCAAAATGTTAAACTGATGAGAGTGAGCTTGTTTTGGTTATCTCTGGATTTCTTCATGGAAATCTCATTATGCATCACATCTGTTTATCAGACAACCCTCTCTATCACTTCCCGTGATAGCGTACACGGCTGGCCCAAAAAAAAAAGAGGTCCACTGTGTCGTTTGGGTTTGTTCTACATCGTCTAATGAAATCAGAGTCACATGGCTTTAAGCAGCTTGTTTACTGAGAGTTTCTGCATCGTGTCAACCTGCCAAATTGGGGATTTTGGTGAATAAGAACCTAATCTGCCTGCAGACTGTAACCCACTCGTGATGGACTTCTGTGCTCTTACATTCTCTCAGACCAGCAGGAACAAATTCCTCCGTCTGTGCTCTGATATTCACATTACCTTGTGTTTTTGGCATCTTGGCGTCCATTTTATTGGTACCACCTACGTCTGAAAATTGTCCTCACTTGCACAAACACAGAAAAATCAAATAAGAAATCAGCTAGAAAAGAAAAAAATTAGATATTGCAATACAGTCTGATACAGGCATTCTGTCCTGCCTAAATTCTTAACCCGATTACAGACTGTTTATTTCTATAACCCTGAACTATTGTGTTTGCAGGAACACATCACCCCCCCCCCCC